TTATTGATAATGGGGAAGCGGCAGGCCACTCAGACGAGTATGTTTTCTCACGTTGGAACGTTCAACGTCATGATCCTGGAGATCGCCGTTGTCCAATGCAGGAGAAGTACGGATTGGACAAAGTGCGACAGAGTCGCGGCGGAGGCGGGAAATGTTCCATGCACTTATGACAGAATCACGGCTGTCATATTGCACGAAAAGAAGCTCTTGGCCCGGCGCGCAAAGGTCGAATAGAAGCACCGTGAGCGGTTGCTCAGCGGCCAGGGTGACGTGCTGATCAAACGAGAATTTCGTCATTGGTCATGGCATAGTGCGGAGTCAACGCACACGAGATCTAAGGGTCTCTGGCGCTCGCGAGGGAGTGTGAGGGGCTGGAGACGAGGCTCGAAAAGGGCTTTTGTGTGTGCCGGGCGCTGGCTGTGTGCGTGCTGGTGGTGCCAACGGGCGAGGATTGGTGGCAACGGCAATCTACAAAATACCATGCAAGCCAAAATGGCAGGCCAACGCCGCCGCCGCAGGGTCCCCTTAGCTGATCTTATATATTTCTGGTGCGCAAGCTCGACGAAACGGATGGCTCACAAAGAGGGATCAGCAACCACGCCCAACACGAGCGGCTGGTGATGTGCGCATGGACAGCATGACCCGCAGTCAGTCGGTCTGTAACGCGTCGCTGTGCGCTGTGGGTACAATACCTAGGTAGTTTGGGCGGAGACAGCGTGGTGGTGATGCACTGCTGTCTGGGTGCACGCAGCGATGAGGCTGCCCGCCCGCATCGTGACTTTCAACGTTGGACGCAGGCACCGTCGTCGCCGCCCCCAGCACAGGCGCAGAGACGTCAGCGACGACGCCATTGGCGGTTGACGGAACCCACGGCAGTGTTCAGTGATGTCAGCCGCCCGCAACGCGCAGCCGTGCTCAGTGTGCGGTGGGACGTGGCGGAATGGGGCAAGTGATCAGCTCTCCCATGTCTCACAGCGGCCGGCGACGTCATGCACCGCTTTCGGCCTTCATCATGACCTCTGCAGTCGCAGCGCCGCAGCAACGTCTTCAACCCCCTCGCCCGCGCGCACGCCCTGAATCACGCCGACGACACGGTCCACGCTGCGCTCATCCACTGCCCGCACCACATTCGCCAACACGCCCCAGTTGCCCTCTCGCAGGCCTGGCAATAGCTGTTCGGCCATCGCAGCGCTAATTGACCGCTTCTAATCATCCGCGCCTCTGGTGGGTGCTTTTGCCCTTGCCGATCAGCAACGCAAACCTTGCCTGCGTGTCGACAACAAAACACAGTCACAGTCATCTCGTGAGTAGACGCCGCTGGTAGCCATACGAGAGCGCTATTGCCTGCTGCCGCCGCCGCCACCCCGAGCTGTCTGCTAGGAGCGCTCGCTGCGTGCACATTCGACGCCCGCGCGCAGGGATCCTCGTCTCGGGAGACCCTGAAGCATTATCTGGCTTAGCGCGGACAGGGGCCCACCCACTCTAACATCCTTCCACATCAACCGTGTGGCTTTATCTTGGCCTGAATCCACCCACGGCATACTCTTGCCGACGCTCGCCCACCTGGCTCCATCCCTAACCTACACTCTGAGAGCCGCACTATACTGTCTCGTGCCATGAACCCGCACATTTCCATCACCTCCTACCCGTCTACTTCAACGCAAGACGACCGCCGCCCCTCCTACCCCGACGACATGTCGACTTCCTCCTCCAACTCTTCCATCAGCGACCAGGAGATGAAGAACGACCCCACACTACAGGCCCGGCCCCGGCTAGGGAGCAGAAAGTCGAGCGGCACCATCATAATACCCCGCGACAGTCCCAACGTCGAGATGAAGGAGGAAGAGGAGGAGTACGACGACGGCGATGCGCGCACCATGAGCCCTCGCCGGAGTAGCGAAGAGATTGAGAAGATGGGCCAGGATGCTCGCCAAGCTCTGATAGAGTAAGTAACTCAACCCTGCATCTCCACGTACGTGGCATGCAACGCTGCGACCCCCCTCGGTGTCGCTGTCGCCCACTGTGCTACCTCTCTCGTTTGTGTGCGCGTTTTTGACTTTCGTCCCAGCCCTTACCAGACTAACCGTTTCGCTAGACAAGCAAAAGCCCTCCAAGCCAGCCTCATGCAGATTGTCGACCGCGTCGAGGTTGTCAAGAACGAACACGAGAAGCTCGAGGGCGGCAACAAGTTTCTCCAATCGTATGTACTCTCCGCATCTCCATTGTGACGACTGGCTAACGGCTCGCAGATATATTGGCGAGCTGATGCAGACCAGCAAGCTCACCTCGACGGGCGCTGGCAAAGCGTCCAAGGTCAAGGGCAAGGGCAGGGTTATCAAATAACAATCAGTCCTCGTACTCCTACCCACAGGCGCTGTGAGCCTCCACTACGTCGGCATTCCTCCCAGGCCCCGACTCATCATGGACGCCACTCGGCTCTCGAACCCCTACTACCACGCAATCATGATGGTCTACTGTCTCACATACTGATCATCACCACCTCCTTCCAATACACGAAACACGCACGTTGATACCGCGTTTATGAGCATCTGCATAGCGGCACAGGATTGGGGAACCGGCGTTCGTCATTACACTTCGATTCAGCATACAGCTTCTGTCTTACCACCCTTCCGACAACCATTTGAACTCGGCACCGCTGGCTCAGTGTTGTCGCACTCGATTTTGCGATTATACCACGGCACATTGCGCCCTTGACCATTGGGTTTTACATTACAATAACTTTACACTTTCACCCGACCACTTTACGGGGCCATGGCGACTACGGTGTTATAGGAGTTCCTGTTTGTTTTCATTCTATACCATGGCAGGATTCTGTACGGTACCCAAGCCCAGCCCCCTTTGTTTTTGCTACCAATGGAAGAGTTGAATCAACCTCTTCCAGCCTATAGCTGAAGTATCGGTGCTTTGTCTGATACTCGGCGCTATGTAAGGCTTCATCTTATTTGAGAGAAAATTAGAAGTAACATGGTTTGCACGAGCGAATAAGCACAATGGTTATTCATGCACAGAACCGTCGCACAACCGTTTTGTTCCTGCCGCCCAACATTGCCATCATCATCTTCCAATGTAGATGACAACTCCATGACTGCATGTGTGCCAGTGCATGTATGCCCAATCTAGCATCGAAACAGGCAGGACCCTGCATGCCCATGCCAGATACGGTGAGCTGCGTAGCAGATGACCCGTCCAAGGCTCCACGAAGGAACATGACAAGGCTGCCGCAACGCAAGAAAAACTGTTCGAGCAGACCCGCACCGCTGCCCCTCTCTTTGTCGGACCATGCTCCAACCCAAAGCACGCAAGACAAGGAAAACTGACAGCCGCCACACTAAGCTTGACTGAACTAAGAAAACCACGCAGACAACACCCACCTCCCTGGTAACGCACGCCCGTCTCCGCTCTCCGTTGTTCCTACTTTGACGCTTTCTTGTTTCTCTCCGCTTGCATCCAAGCGAAAGCGATCGGAATGCCCACGATGAACTAAAGCACCAAAGAACTCTATTCCATCACGCGCAAATCTAACGACTCATGCTGTTTTTTTCTTCTCTTGCGCCGCCCGCTTGCTTGCCTACGTTCCGCTTTAGCGCGTGGGCGCCCACGCGATGCAATCATCAATCATACACAAGCCTTTAGTGTGCGATTCGCCGTTGCAACGTCGTGTCACAGATCTCATGTGTCTGACTTGTGCGCTAAGCCCACGCTGCGGTAATGCAGGTGCACTCCACTCTGCTCTGCCGTGGGAAGGCTCACATGTGCAGGAGGTCATCGCACTTGCCGAGTTGTTACCGGAAGGAAGGAAGCAAAGCAAGCGCAAGGTGGAGGAAGGTTATGGGAATAAATCTTGAAACTCTCTACCTTGCTCGACTCGGGTGTTGGTCCGTAACTTCTTGCATGCCGTGATTGGTGCGGAACCCGTCGAGGGAAATGGGAGATTAAGGTGCGGATGTTATGATTCGTGGGGGCGAAATTGGCCGCCCTGCGCTTGGGGAGGGGGTTCCGCGACATCAACTTAGCAAGCGAGATGGGTGGGAGTGCTAGTTGCTATCGATAATATTGGGATTGACAAGCTCATGAGCTCAAGCCAAAGGCAGGCCATCGCGCTCGGTGGGCACGTTGTATTGTTGTTGTTGTTCATCTTCGGTATCGGTGCGGTGAGGGGAACACGCCGACGATCTTTATCAGCCTTGCATCACGACTTCCCCATCTTGCCCTGGTACTCCGACGACACGCAAATACCACGATAACAACCGCTCACATGCGCCGGCATTCATGTCAATCTCGGTACTGTGCTTGCGGAGCTGAACACGTATGCTTCCATGGAGCTCTCGAAACTTTCCACTTTGGTCTCGTCGACTTCCTCTTCTGTAGATCTGAGGAAGGCGCTACTGACCCGCAGTTGACACGGTCTTCTGCAGTCGCCAACGGGTTGTTGCAGATGAAGTGTGGTGACTAGGTGTACGTGTCCGCACATGAGCTTGTCTGGTCATCGTCTGATCCACGATGCTGTATATGCATGGAGCGAGTCATTTCCCTCCGATCCGGGCATTGGAGACTTGTACCTACGTTTGACTGATGTAAAAAGTGGTAATGGAGTATGCCACATCGTCGATGCCTTGGATGCTACACCCGCACCGAAGCCGGAATCTTCACACAGAGGCTGCGGCAAGATATCGTTTGACCATATCGCCAACTTGAAGATCTTCTTGACCCTTGCGTCCACTGGAGACTTCTTGACAGCTAAATATCAAGGTAGCATGGATTCATACCTATGTCCCAGTATATCAAGCATCCACACCGGCTACTGGAACCAGAGGTGTTGGATAGTCATATCCATTCCCTGGATCAATCAGATAGAGTACCGTCAGAACAGGAGGAGGTAAGAGAACGGATTTGGTATGTTAATGGAGAACGAATCCCAAACACACCTTGACAAGGCAGCCAAGCGGTGTTTATTCATGCCCTAAAGTTGATTCGCTCTCCTAAGCTTTCATGACATCCACCCATCCTTCTGGCATGACCTTCCCACCCTTATATCCATCAAGCAGCCACTGCTCTCCATCAAACCCAAACTCAATCAGCGCATCTTCACTTCCCCACTCTCCGTTCCCACTCAGCCCGATCGGGACCTTGCCAGTGCCCTTTACGCCATCCACATATGCAATAGGGAATTGTATGCAGGGGATTCCTGTGAAGTTCGCTAACCACACATACTCCATGTTCCTGATTTGCATGTTGCCGTTCGTCACCCCATGTGAAAGTTCAGCTTCATCAATAGGCCAGCCCGCGTTTGGCGTCGTGGGCGTGACGATGATGAGGCCAGGATGTTTGCGGAAAAGGTCGGCAAGATGTTCCATGAGAACGTTGCGCAGACGCTGGGCAAGCAGAAAGTCAGTTGCTGGGGTCTGTTTCGCCACACTCATGAGAATCCTGTTGGCGGGCGTGAGGTCGTAGATGGACGTCCTGTGTCCTGCTGCGCCTTCGGCCATAATAGTCATTGCGTGAGCAAGTTGACCCTCTGTTAGCAGCGGGATGCTGATATCGACAATTTGGTATCCCTGTTCTGACTCGAAGTACCGCAAGGCTGATTGACAGGCCTCCTGTACTGGAGGGTCTGCGCGGTCGATCCAGGCTTTGTATACACCCAGTACTTTGTTTCGAGACCCAGTGTGCTTCTTGGGTGGGTTGAATAGCGATGAGGGGTATGTTGATGGGTCGGGCTGAGCGAGCACGCGGTATGCGATCTCGAGATCTGACATGTTGCTTGCGAGGGGCCCGCGAACGGTGACGGATTTCCCGGCGTCTGGCATGGGCGCGACGGAGACACGGGAGTGCGATGGCTTCAGACCATATAGACCACAGTAGTTGCTGGGAATTCGGACTGAGCCACCTCCATCTGATCCAATAGCAAAGGGTATAAGGCCATGTCCTACTGCAGACGCAGCGCCTCCCGATGAGCCTCCGGGATAGTATGAACAGTTGTATGGGTTCCGCGGTGTGCCCCAGTTAGGGTTGTTGTTTGTGGTATCTAGATCAGTCAGTATCTTCCATGAAACCACAGAACCGACGCTTCCACTCACCCATTCCCATCTCATGCATAGTCAGCGTCCCGACCAAGACCGCGCCTTCCTTCTCAAGCATCTTCGCACACCAGCTCGTTTCCTTGTTTCCCCCGTGGCTGTAGTCATAAGTGGTGCCGACATAATGCTTATATCCCGTGACCTTAAGATCGTCTTTGACTCCGAACGGCACGCCATCTAGTATACCCAATGGCTGCCCCTGCTTGTACCGTTGCGTGGAGGCTTCGGCAGCTTGTCTGACCATGTCTACTTTGCTGTCCATGAAGGCCGTCGAATAGGGCGAGCGCTGCGCAACATCTCTGCGTATGAGGGGCAGGATGTGTTCTACTACGTCGGTCGGTGTAAGTGTGCCGCTCGAGTAGGCATCGTGGAAGTCTTTGATCGAGTGGAATCGGTTGGAGGACGCGTGCGAGGACGGTGCGCGAAAGTTGGATTTGTCTGTGTAGTTGAGGGGAGCATCGTCGGATTCAGGCAGCGGGATTACGGTGGGATCATAGCGCGGGTCAATGCCGTCGAGTTGCCTGCATTCTCGCAAGGAGCTGAAGCCGGCATTGCTCCACAGGATGCCAGGGACTAGCGGTACAGTCGCGACTCTGGAGCTGTTAGCTTGGTGACAAAAGAATGGTGGATTGACTAACAGGTTGGAAAGATAGTGCAGCAAGGCGCCCTTGACTACGGGGTTCTTTCCGGGCGGCGGGGCCTTGTATGGCGCGTCGTGAGGTTTGGGGCGCGGATAGTTGAAGAAGCGCGGGGATGTCTGGCTGCTTCCCGACATCTTGGCTGTGGCTGCACGGAACCAATGGCAAGTGAAGCTGAAGCGATATGCAATTGGGCCTTAGGTAACACTGGTAAACGCTTGTATGCTCCTCCACTGCCTTTATGTGGAATCTTGATAAGCCTCAAGTGCTCGGGATACCTGAAGCACTGCGCTAGCTTTCACATGCTACTAGTTGGGGTGTTTTGTCATCGCGCAAGCTCCCGAGGTCCAAGACGTCCGAAGGTCCCAACGTAAGCAACAACAGAAGAAGCTTTCCGAACAAGGTCCGATACTGATCAAAGAGCATATGAATTCAATCGTGTTTACTGTCTATTGCTGCTGAGCCATATGCGAAAGTTACGTCAGCACTGTAGCTCTCCTTCCCCCTCAAAACTAGTTACCACACCGCAACACCCAGAGGACAAAGATAAAATAGTCGTATGCGTGGCATCCACCAGCATAGAGCCCTTGAAACTTCAACTTTGAAAGTACAATTGTAGTGACGACCTCTCCCGGGCGTGCGCCTGCCGTCCTACAGGATAGCCGTAGCCTGCATTCCGTGTCCGTTCGAAGCCATTCGTACGCGTCTACTGCTTGCCAGAGACCTGGTCGCCCATGCGGTTGTACTCCTTCTGCATGTTCTCAACCTGCTTCTTCAGGTTCGCCATGTCGCGGTCCTTGGCAGCAAGCTCCTCCTTGAGAGCTCCAACCTCGCCAGCACCACCAACGTTCTTCAGCGAAGAGCCCTTCTTGGTGCTGGGGTCGCCCTTGAGGGTCTTGACCTCCTCCTCGAGACGGAGAACATCGAGGATCATGACGTAGGTACGGTTGAGGATGAGCGACAGGAAGAGGGTGAAACCGCAAAGGTACATGTTGCGCTGCGAGTAGAACTTGCGGGCCTGGACCTCCATGCGCTCGATGCCTCCAGCAGCAACGCTTCTTGTGTCGTTAGTACAGCACTTTGTAGGTAGGGTACTCTGACTTACGATCCGCGGCCCTGGTCGTCTGAGCCAGAGAGCTCAATCTGCACGCGGTATACGCGGTTGACACTGTCAATGAACAGGATCAGGATGAAGATGAACGTAATCTACGCATGTCAGACGGGTCCTCCACTTGAATACAGTGACTCCCATACCTTCATGCCATATTGCAGCTTTGCTATTATAGGGCTCTCCGATATGAAGGTGAAGAGCTTGCGGCGCCATGTGAAGGGCAGAGGGACGATGAGGGCGCAGAAGATGAGCATCTCCGTCACCAGGAGGAGGAAGACCTAGAAGATGGAGGGTTAGCACAAAGGCCACATACGCGGTTGTCAGGTAAGGCGCGTAGGCGAGCACGCGAGCAGTGACGAGACGACACCATTGGCATCTCTCTCGATCGCTGCTTTCCTGCAAGGAGAGGGGCTGCTTACCAGACTGTAGTAGAGCGTCATGATGGCTACGTGGTATTATTGTCTGGTGTGTGTGTGTTTGTGTGGGAGCGGGGTTGAGCTGAATCAACAATGGATCTGGGAGGAGCTGGCTTGCGTGTGCGTGCAAAGGACCAGCAGGAAGATAAGAATCGTGCGGAGGGCCGGAAAGGATTGCAGGAGGGTTGATGTGAAAGTGGGAACGGGAAACGCGATGTGATGTAGGGGAGCCGCAAGTGCCTGGCTGTGACGTATGATCGCAGCTTTCCCAACTTGCTCACTAGCGCATGGGCCGCCGGTCTAGCCTCTTCTAGCCGCATTCGCCCTCACAATTTGAGCGAGTGCTTTTCTCTTTTGAGCAGCAACGCCAACCACGCACGCCTATTCTCAGCCTGGCCACCTTTCTTGCATAAGATGACGACAGGTGAAGGAACCAAGCTCGAGCCCGACCATTCGGCCCCAGACGGTGCTGTCTCCAATGGCATCAATGGCGGCAATGGTACAGTCGATGTGCAGTCCGAACCACCTGCGAGCCCCAAGAAGAGGAACAGGACTAGCAGTCAAGACATTGAGGATGCGGATACTTCTGTGAAGCGAGTCAAGGGTGTCGCACCCATCAAGGCAGAGTACATGCGCCACCCGCTTGAAGTAATTCGCATGCTAAGAACATCAGATTCCTGATACGACTGGATAACAACAAGGCCGCCACCAAGGACAGAGTCATTGACGACGATGCAGCTGAGGGCGCCGATGCTGAGCACAAATCTGAAGGCCTACCAAAGACTGATGCTCGCGATGGCCCCAGAAAGGGCAAGAACAACAAGAAAGACAAAAAGCAAAAGGGCCAAAACACCAGCCGCACTTTCGGCAGCTCGCGCGACAAGATACCGCTCTGTGGTACTCGCGCAGCCTACAATGAATTCTCACCCAAGGAGTGTCCGTTTGGCGAGAAGTGCAAGTTCGAACACGATATCCGCAAGTACCTCAAGGACGGTCGACGAGAAGATCTTACTACCTTCGATGGTCAATGTCCAGTCTATGCCGTCAAGGGATTCTGTCACTTTGGCTGGAAGTGTCGATTCGTCGGTAGCCATTCCGAAGAGCGCACCCTAGAAGACGGCCGGAAAGAATTAGTCCTGAAAGAAGATGCTGACCGGAAATCCGAGTTCTCCAGCTTCGACGAAGAAGCAGAGGCTGAAGTGGTCAACATCGTGCCAAAGGATATCAAGATTGGTTTATCGAGACGGAAGATTGGGACCCCGCGCTCTGACCAGTACCTGCAATGGATCGAGACCAATGCTCGCAACGAAAGAGAAATGTTCGATGCAGCTCAGATGGACATGGACGTTCTCAAGGAGGAGAAGGAGGCGCGCAGAGCGGAGTTTGTGGAGGCGCCCTTCAGGCCATCAGAGAAGCGTAGGCTCTACTACGGACCCGAGACACCAATGCTCGCACCCCTCACCACTCAAGGCAACATGCCGTACCGCCGGCTCTGCGTGGATTTTGGCTGCCAAGTGACTTGGAGTGAGATGGCCATGGGTATGCCATTGATCCAAGGTGACAAGGGCGAATGGCCACTTCTCAAAGCCCACGAATCTGAGGTAACCCCTCCAAAGTTCTTGGGCAAGAACACTGTTGTCCAGGGCTACGACAACTCGACTGATCTCAAGTTCGGCGCACAAATCGCGGCGAACAAGCCATGGCTGGCCACCAAGACGGTTGAAGTACTGACTGAATACTGCCCGAAGCTGCGCGCTATCGATCTCAACTGCGGATGCCCCATCAACCTCGTCTGTGAGAAGGGAAGTGGTTCCGCACTACTCGATAGCGAGGCAAAACTGGAGAGTATCCTCCGTGGAATGACCTATGTATCCAAGGAGGTCCCCATCACCGTCAAGATCCGCATGGGTACCAAGGACAACCACCCGACCGCGCAAAAGCTCATCAAGCGACTCGTACTTGGCGGCCACGAAGCCGTAGAGTCTGGAAAGGGTCTCTCGGGTATCGCAGCCGTTACCCTCCACGGCAGGAGTAAGCAGCAGCGATACTCTCGAAGCGCAGACTGGTCCTACATCGCCGAATGCTCTGCCCTCATCAACCGACTCCGTAAAGAACAGGCGGCCAAAACGGACACCGCCGCCGAAGCTGATCCCCGTGACCTCGCAAACGGCGGCCATGTCTACTTTGTCGGCAACGGCGACTGCTACTCGCACGAGGACTACTACAACCATCTGGAAAACGCCAAGGTTGACACCGTCATGGTCGGTCGTGGCGCACTCATCAAGCCCTGGCTCTTCGAAGAGATTGAAAAGGGCCAGTACCTTGACAAGTCTGCATCGGAGCGCCTTTCCTATATCGAGAAGTTTACCAAGTACGGTCTGCAGACTTGGGGTTCTGATGAGATGGGCATTGGCACGACTCGTCGTTTCCTCCTTGAATGGCTAAGCTTTGCGCATCGCTATGTGCCGGTTGGTCTATTGGAACACTTGCCCCCGAACATCCAGGATCGTCCCCCGAGGTTCAAGGGTAGGAATGACCTGGAGACGTTGATGGCTAGCGAGCACTACACGGACTGGATCAAGCTCAGGTATGTTCTTCTTGTGATGTAGGAAGGGGTCTTAGCTAACGTATTTGCAGTGAGATGTTCTTGGGTCCTGCTCACCCTAATTTCAAGTTTGAGCCTAAACATAAGTCCAACGCTTATGAGATCGAGGCGGAGGGTTAGAGCTTGGGTGAAATGAAGGATACATATTGTTATGGGGAGCTGCTGCGTACATGCATTGGTTGAGGAGCAGAATAGCGTGGCGACTTCGATGCATTTGCATAGATATCTTTCAAGTCTTCAGGTCTCGGTAGATGCCTCTATAGGGCTTCGCATGGAAAAGTCATATTTGAATACCAGAAACATTCATCCCGTGCGTTTGCTTCCGTAATATATCTACACCAAAAATCCCACAAGCGTCTCCAACATTTCCCTCTCCGCTGGCTCAACTGCCATCACGCCATCGAGCTGCGCTTGCAACGTCCTCTTGACGTCTCCAAGTCCTTCGTCCCTCTCCGCCAGTGCCTTCTCAATAGCCACCTTGGCACCCCCGTCCTCAGCAACCAACCAGGCCAATACAGCATCGATCCTCTCCAGACAATACAGCCCCTCACTCAACCGGTCTGGAATATTCTCCAGCTCAAAAGCCTCTAGCTCATCTTTCCCGCTTATCCGCAACGCCTTCTTCTTCTCTGCTAACTTGCTATCGAAAGCAGATAACCGGGTAACGTAGCCTCTGCGCAATTCAACCAGTTTGTGTATCTTGTCGTAGTCCTTCTCGAGGAACTTGGCTAGGAGGCGGAAACGGGTATCGGAGTTGCCCGGTAAGGAGCGGAGGAGTGAGGCGAAGATGCCGAGTATATGTTCGGTTTGCTGGGGGTCGTGTGACTTTTTCGTTTTGGAAAAGGTGCTAAAGAGAGGTTTTAGGCCGCGGCTGTCGACGAGTTTGGTGCAGACGGCTGTGGCGCTGTTTGTGGCTTCGGGGACTTCTGCTGCGGCTTCTTTGCCTTTTGCGCTTGTATTGCCGTTGGTTTGTGGTGGTGTTGTTTCTTCTGCGTAGCCGCAGGC